TGGCATGGCTATTTATGGTACAACAAAAGAAAAATTGAGAAAAACTTTAATAATCATTTTATTAGGGCCGCATTGATTAAGACCTGGGAGAAGTATAAAACTAGATGGTATAATAAAACTCCAAAATGGATTTCACCGATGGAAGCGAGACATAGGAGGGAATTGGGCAGTAAACATTGGCTAACTTACCATCAAATACTAAAAGAAACAATAGGACAGCAACCAAGTTTAAAACCCCTAGAAGAACTCAAAATAATAGACGAGAAAATCACATGGTTACAGTATTTTCAAATAAAACAAGGTTTCAAGGAAGATGAGAAAATCGGCTTTAATCAAGAGAAGGGAATATGGGATCTAATATTAGAAAAAGAGAAGAAATTAATAAAAATACTTTATCAACAACTGCTGAAATGGTCTACGGAGGACGAACAAGTAAAAAATTGCCAAATTCAATGGGCAAAAGATTTAGGCCATAATATACTAATGAGCCAATGGGAAAACATATGGAATAATAAAATAAAATCTATGGTAGCAAGTGATATAAAGGAAAATTGGTATAAGATGTACTACCGATGGTACTACACTCCCGAAAAATTGGCAAAATTCAATAAAGGAATTTTAAATACCTGCTGGAAATGTAGGAAAGAAAAAGGAACTTTCTTCCATGTTTGGTGGGAATGTAAAAAGGTTAAAAAATATTGGAAGGAGATCCATAGGATTACACAAAAGATACTAAAGAAAAAATTCCCTAGATCCCCAGACATCTATTTATTAGGTATAACAAATTCAGCTTTCAATAAAAATCAAGAGAGAATACTGTTCCTACTTAGTACAGCCGCAAGAATTGTGCTGGCAAAAACCTGGAAATCCGAGGAAATTCCGGATATAGATACCTGGATAACCAAAGTGCTAGAGACAGTTCAAATGGACTCGCTATCCCAGAGACTAGAAAATACGGAAAATAAGACGAATTGGTCAGGACTGAAGGATTATTTTAAAGAAAAGAATATTCCACTGATGATAGATTTGTCTAAAGTATAAATAATGATCAACTAAGAAGAGACTTCGGAGATATAGAAAAAAATTGAAGACGGAAGATGAAAAACCCAGGGATCGGAAGGAGCTTGGGAAGTCAATATTTTATTCTCCCCCCCCCTTTTTGAATCTATACCCGCCCCTCCTTGCCCTCCCCCTATACCTCACACCTTTTACCCACCCCCTACCCTACCCCCCCTCGTCTCTACCCTAGATTACCCCTTCCCCAAAACCCATTACTTTTATCTGCATTGTAAAATTTCTTCTTTTGAATAAAAATTTATAAAAAAAAAAAAGAATACGCTTTTACAGTCACCTACGTACCCACCGCCAAGACCCTACACTTGGAAGACCTTCATAAACAGATAATGAGGGATTGCCTAATAAGTAAGTCAGCAGCAAACTGAAACTCAGTCTCCCATGATCTCCACAAAATTGGCTCTCAGTTCATATTATTGTTTTTCAGCTTCAAAAATTTACACTTGTTGGTATTTACACAACGATATCACAGAAACAAACCTCTCTTGTTATACAATACTAGCCGTCCCCTGCCACACGTTGCTGTGGCCCAGTCTGTGTATATGTGTTTTGTGTGTGTGTATGTGTGTGCATATATTTGTGTATATATGTGTGTTTGCGTGTGTATATATATGTGTATATTTGTGTGTGTTTGTGCATATATATACGTGTGTGTGTATGAATGTGTGCATGTGCATATGTATATGAGTGTATGTGTATATGTATATATGGTGTATTTTGGGGGGTTTTAAGTCTGTTCCGCGGGGGTTTTTTGTGTGTGTGTGTGTGTGTGTGTGTGTGTGTGTGCGTGTGCGTGCGCGTGCGTTTATAGGCGATGGACACTCGTTGGACTGTTAGGTGTATTGTGTCCAAATTTCATGTCAATTCATCCAGTGGTTTTTGAGTTATGTTAATCCCACAAACGAACATTATATTTTTATTTATATAGATAATGAATATTACCTGTTTCAGAGCTGGAAACAATGGTGCTTTTTCAAGAGATGAGCATGGGTCGATTTTATTACTGAGAACAACCGGGAGGTGTGCACTGAGATCCACCTGATGCTTCTTAAAAGTGAAAAATTGGAGCACTATTACATATGATACATATGAAGGCTCGCTTTCAATTTTGTGTTCAGTGACAAATGTTTTATCCACTTTTATTTTCTTCCTTTTGAAGAAAGAGATATACAACCAATCTGTGCATTTTAAGGTATCAGTGAAGAGAAATTGCATGTATTTCATGAACACAGTATTGACTGAAAGGAAAGAATATAGGAAATGCAAAATTATTCAACTTTTAGGAACCAAACAATAGCATGGGCTCATATTGTTTCATAAATATAGATTTCCTGTATTATAAAAAAAAATCCTGTGCTGGTACAGCTGTACCAGGAGCTCCTATTTTGTTTGCTTTGCAGTTAATGTTTGTTTGCAATCCCAGGTTTGGGATTTTGCAGCAGGGTGGCTTCCTGTTATAGGCTGCAACCATAGGGTAAGCCACCTGCCAATTATAGTTAGGATCCCATGTCCCGCCTCCTTTTTGACTTTTGGAGGGAAAAGGCCATTTTTCAGTTAGTTACTGCAAGAGAAGCCAAGGCAGAGGATGCATACAGACATTCCTCCTGTCCAAAAGCTTCGTCTTTTAAGACTTCCTGGGGAAGAACAGATTGAAGGCCTCTACAGATTCCCAAAGGGTTCCAGGGAACAGCTTTACAGCCCTGCGGACCTCCGGAGGGAATAACAGCTCTTCATCTTCAGCTAGGTGATTTCAAGCCCGCTGGTACGTTTGTTTGGTTCTTGAGACGCAATTCAGCCAGTAGCAGACTCAAACCAGTCAGGTTTAGGTTCATAGCAGCCTGGGGGGAGCTTTAAAGGGGATTTTTTTTCTGTTAAAGTTTTCTTAAAGATAGTGCCTGTTTCCTGCAAACAAGACTGCAAAAGCCAATAGACTATTTAGACATTTTACAATTCCTGCTTGTTCCTTAATAAAGACTGTTGTATTTAAGTTTAAGTCTCCAAAAGCCTGTTTAATAGGAGAAAATCCTCTAAAGGTTCTTTCTTGGGCCCCCGGGCTTCCTGCTGGACGCAAGCCTTGCATCCTCTTTTAGAAGCATTTAATTTTGGCTCCAGCGGCGACAGAACAAATCCAGATTAGTTAACATTGTTTGAATCAAGCAAGACTTTGTAAAATGGAATTGTGCTTTCTGAAACTTTTGGTAAAGCATTTATTAATTCAGAAAACTATTGAGACAAAACAAAATATTTAATAACATGTAAGCTCATCGAGGGCTTAACTACCCTTAAGGCATTAAATCCCATCTTATCTTGGAAGCTCTAGTTCAGTTTCTCAACCTTAGGGTCAGGACACCTGGGGAGGTCGTGAAGTGGGTGTCAGAGGGGTCACCAAAGACCATCAGAAAACATATATTTCTAATGGTCTTAGGAACTCCTTTGGCAAAGAAGGCTGAAGATCTCTCTGCTTGTCCTTCTCTTTCTTTTTGGAAACAGATGGCAAATCCTTTCAGCTGGCCTCTCAGCCAAGGGGAAGGCTGTTTCTGAGACGCCAAGCGGGGAGGGGAGAGCAGGCGTGCTCGGTGCATGGCAGCATGACAAGATGTACAAACAGAAAATAGACATAGAATGGAAATTTAAAATTAGAATACTTCTGTCTCTTCTTGTTCATCAACATCTTTCAAAGGAGCAGGGTTTAAAAGCTGTAGAAGCCTGAAAATACATTTAAAAAAGAGCTTTCAAAAACAAATATTGCTAATACAGACTTAATTTATTAAAATTTATTATTTATTGCAGCAGTCTATATGAGATGCAGAAAGCGTGTGGACCATCATGGCCAAGTCTGGCTTCTCAAGGTACAGGCGCAACTGGCGCACAAGTTTTAATTGTTTAAAAGCTTCCCTGGTCACTGCTGAAACCTGGGGTTCCAGGCTCAGTGATGAAGCCAGAAGGACTCCCAAGCTGCGAACCTGTGATTTCAGGGTGTGACCCTATACCTCAGGAGTCCTCCAACTGCAGCCCTCCAGCTGTTTGGGCCTCCAACTCCCAGAAGTACTAACGAGCTTGTTCAATTGTCAGGAATTCTGGGAGTTGAAGGCCCAAACAGCTGGAGGGTTGCAGTTTGAGGATGCCTGCTATACCCTATTTGGCCTTTCGACTGACCAGGAGTACCTCTGTCTTGTCTGGATTCAATTTCTATTTCTTTGCCCTCATCCAGACCATCACAGCTGCCAAGCACTGGTTCAGGACCTGGACAGCCTCCTTTGCAGCAGGTGGAAAGGAGTGATAGAGTTGGACATCATCCGCATACAATTCCTGGTAGCCCATACCTACTTTAAGACGTTATTTTTTTAAGAACTTGTTTTCCACATTGGTTATTTGTAAAATTCTTAAAGTTCTTAAATTATCAAATTCAATCCTTAGTTACCATTAAAGATGATAAGATTTGCAAATTCATCGAGCATCTTGAATAAATAATAGAAATAAGGAAAAAGACTCACTTCATGCTTGTGTTTCTATTGTAAAGACTTCTTTCTATTTCCTTTACATTTGCAGTTGCCTTAAATGAGCTGCTAGAATGAAACACAATATCTCAGAAGAAAATAGTGGCTGGGATGCAAACAACTGAATGCAGGATGTTGTATGTGACAGCTGTTGGGATTCTACTCCACACTACCCAAGTCTCAAGTCCTCAACGAGGAGTAGTTAGTTAGCATTAGAACAGTCTGAGGGTTTCCCTTCCCCTACGTCTCCTGAATAGCAGTTGGAATGTATCTAATTTCTTCTCTCCTCTCTGTTCCTGCTCCCATTCTGACTGGTGATTTAAAATGGAAACTTTTCTACTGCAAGCCTTTTTGAATCTGACTTCTGCCTTCTTATACTTGAGTATGGAAAGTATGTGCTGTGTGCTTTGAGATCTCTCTCTGCTTGTGTGTCAGGAAAGATGTTGTGAGTGAGTTTTTCCCTCTCTTGAAACCTTAGAAGAGATGGGTGTTAGAGTAGCTCAGGCTCAGTTTTGATTATTAAGAAATGCAGTTAGTTCCTATTATTGTAAATAAATCTTTTGTGATTTTTAAGATTGGACTCTGCGTCTTTGCCTTCTCAAGCTCTGAATTCTTTACAGCCGCATCACACTGCACTTCACACTTTGCTAAATGTGAGCTGATGTTCAACTTTTGTATCCTGTTTCATTTTTGGATGCTCTGCTGTCTATTTTGGGTAATTTTCCCTATCAAAGGCTTTTACCTTCCTGACATTCTCTACCTTGTTAGTTTGTTTAGAAATCCTGCCATGTTCCTTTAGGTCATTGAATTTCTGATTTCTATGTAAGGTTTTGAAAGCTGACAGGAAACAAATGAACTTATTTAAAATGGGATACACAGTAAACGAATGAAGAGCTGAATCACACCTTTTTCTGCATAAGTACATGACAAATTTAAGTAACAAGGCAAGCGTCTGAGAAAAATATATATGAAAAACTAGCCAAATTATTTAAAACAAATTACCATATATACTCGAGTATAAGCCAACCCGAATATAAGTCGAGGCACCTAATTTTATCACAAAAAACTGGGAAAACGTATTGACTCGAGTATAAGCCGAAGGTGGGAAATGCATTCACTATGGGTCAATTTCAAAATAAAAATAGATACCAATAAAATTACATTAACTGAGGCATCAATAGGCTAAATGTTTCTGAATATTTACATAAAACTGTAATTTAAGATAAAGACTGCCCAACTCTTATTAAACCATTATTCTAACCTCCTTCAATGTAAATGTACTTATTATTAAAATAATAAATATAATAAAAATAATAGAGTAAAATAATGAAAATGCAATAAAAACAGCAATAATAGAGTAAAATAATAAATGTAGTAATAATAATAGGGTAAAATACTGTAAATGTAATAATAATAGAGCAAAATAATAAATAGACTAACAATAGAGCAAAACAAAGTAAATATAATAATAATACAGTAAAATAATAAATGTAATAAAATAATACTAATAACAGAGTAAAAGAATACATAACCTTGACTCAAGTATAAGCCGAGGGGAGCTTTTTTAGCCTAAAAAGGGGGGCTGAAAAACTAGGCTTATATTCGAGTATATACAGTATTTTGGCTCTTTCAAACCAATCAACAATTTCATAGTGGTGGCTTTGGTTTAACAAAATAGGTTCAAATTCTTGCTGGATGGAAAGATGTAAATATACCTGTTTGCTTGCAGATCTGTTACAGAAACTGTTATACCTGGTTTCAGGGAAGGAATTGCCACCATTACATCCTAAGAGAGGAAAGAAAAATATCCCAAAGATTTGTTCTCAGAGATTTAGGAAGCAGGGAATTTTTATGCTCCTAGATGAAACTACTTCATTTCAGCACTTGACCAAAAAAAAAAAAAGCCATGCTTATTGCACTCTGAAACACAGTATAATAAGGCAGACCATCTTTCATTGATAGAGTTTTCTATCACTGTACAGGAACAACTGGGAGATAGTTTCAGCAATGCTGAAATCCTACTTGAATTTTTATAAATATGTGCAACCATGCCCAAAGAGGGGGGAAACAATACGAGGCCTCTACAAAGTTATCATCTGTACATGATCTGATAATGTTATGCATGTCAATATACTGACTATACACTAAGGCTATGTAAAGCTGATTATTCCTCAAGAAATGAGAGGTTGCTTACCTGTAACCGTAGTTTCCCTAGTGGTATGCTGTGAATCCGCACTAATGGTATCCTTCTGCGCATGCGCAGTACAGCTCGGAAATTTTCAGTTAAACTTTGAAATGGAATGGCGGTTGGCCCCGCGCACACTCCCCATGCTACTATAAATAGCCAGCGGCAGGCTAACCGCCTCAGTTCTCTTCGGCCGCAGCAGCTGCTCAAAGAGGAGGCATGACCTGGACCAGTATTGTATCCACTAAAATACCCCTTACGATATGAGCTTGCCGGTTGCTGCCAGCGAGACCTCTGTTGGTATCCCGGCTGCCACGGATACTCATACTTGGCTGCCTGTAGAACCTCCCTAGAATGCTTTATTTTATCGTCAGTGGAAGGATCGAAAAGGCCTTCTTCTGTCATGGGAAGGTCTTCGGCTAAGGAACGGCTGTCCTCTGATAAAGAGGAAGCACGAAGCCAAGCATGACGTCTAATGGCAGTTGCAGTAGCTAGCAGCTTGCCCGCGGACTCCGCCATGTGTTTACCAATATCCTTCTGAAAACGTGAGAGGGAGGTCGCCTCAGTTAGGAAGGCCCGTGGTAAACGCCTATCTCCTACAGGCAACCTGTCAATATATGGTGCTATTTGGTTCCATAGGAAACTCTGATAACCACTTAGGTACGTTGCGTAGTGGGCTATTCTAGTAAATAAACCCGCTGCAATGTGGACCTTTTTCCCTAAAGAATCTATCTTCCTGCCCTCCTTATCCGGGGGGGAGATCGTATATTTCTTTGGCTTCTTGGATTTAGCCGCCTCGGCCACCACCGTATTTGGTACAGAAGGACGGGCTAACCACTTAGCTGTGGACAGATCAACCCTATAAATAAGGTCTACTCTTCTAGGTATTGCTGATACAATGGCAGGGGACATATCAGGAATTTTAGTCAGCTTTAGTAAGTATGGCAAGGTAGGGAGTACAGCAGAAGACGGGTTGTCCTGCTGTTCTGGGGGAAACATTGGGTCCTCCACTGTAGAGGACGGCTTTGGAATTGCAATTTCCAAGGCAGTAATCATCCTCCCTATGAGTTGCATAAACTTATTATAGCTGGATGAAGCTCCGCATCCTTTCCTTCCTTAGAAACATCATTTGCCTCCTCAGAGGCGTCTGAGTCCATATTATTATCCAAAGTGTAGTCTTCGTATTGGTTGCGCTCCATCTCATCCAAGTCACCAGCTGGTATGCCAGTCAAAGGGCATCCCAAGTTCTTATTTGAGAGTTGAGGGCGATGCCTTGAAACATTGGTATGTTTCTCAGGAGCAAGTTGCCTGTTGACATTCTGGATCATTGGAGAGGGTATGTCATCATTTCCAAGATAAACAATGCCCCCATTAGGAGTAACTTGATAGAAGCCTGCTTGTGGAGGAGGGTGGTCGCGCCTCTCCCTCTGTCCTCCCCAGCGGGATGATCTTGAAGAGGCGATTGACAAAGCCCTCTCAAGCCTCGAACGCCGCCGCTTCCTTGCAGAACATGAGGAGTCCGAACACGACGTGGTGGAATCACTGGAGCTAGATCTTTCTCTCCTGGCTCCCTTCGCTCTCGCTAATCGCGAGGGCGCGCGTGCTCGGCGTCTAGCTATGCCATCAGGGGCAGTCCCTGCAACAGCTGATGTCGAGGGATGAACTGGGGAAGCCCTGCTCGGCTCCCCCTCCCCTCCGCCTGCTAGGGATGGAGGCGGGGCCGGCGCCGAGAGCATCGGCATCGGAGGCGTGGTTCCGCTCGTTAGAGACGACTCCTGCGCACGCGCGAGGCGTGGTTTCGTCGACGCCGACTCCCCTTCCGCTCTCAGGCCACGCTCGTGGTGCGCCTGGGCCGACATCGACTCCGGCTGCCTTTCAGCCTCGGCCCGGGAAGCCTCTTCTCCGGTCTCGACCAGCTTAGCGAGCCAAGACTCTCCGCTGGAGGGACCTGCCGGCTTCTTTGCCGGATTTGGTAAGGCTTTTGACTTCTCAGCGTTCTTCGTCTTCTTCGTCTTTTTAAGTGTCTTAGAAAGCAAATCCTTTGTCTGGCCGCCATTCTGCTGGCTATCCTTGGGAGGGAGAAGCGCCCGCTCATAAAGAGCCGCCTTCAATCGAATCTCCCTATTTTTCCTAGTTTGAGGAGTGAATGACTGGCAAATATCACAGTTCTGGGACAAATGTCCCTCTCCCAAACAGGCGATGCATAAAGCATGGGCGTCATTATCAGGAATATTTGCTGGGCAAGCGCTACAGCGCTTAAAACCTTTTGTTTGCGACATTAATGAAAAGAAGCAAGTTGGCAAAAAGGAATAAACCGTTCTCTTTTGTAACGAGCTGCCTGCGTTGAGCGCGGATGAAGAGAACTGAGGCGGTTAGCCTGCCGCTGGCTATTTATAGTAGCATGGGGAGTGTGCGCGGGGCCAACCGCCATTCCATTTCAAAGTTTAACTGAAAATTTCCGAGCTGTACTGCGCATGCGCAGAAGGATACCATTAGTGCGCATTCACAGCATAGCCACGCAGGGAAAACTGGAGATACGTTTACTACTGCCTATGAAACAGAAATGATAGTCCTTCTGTGTTAAACACAATCTCTGATCAATGTACTTTTCTGTAGTTATAGACAGAAATAAGGCAAGGGCATGCAAATCTGTTACTCAGTATGGAAAATCCTAATGGTATGAATACAACAGGAAACAAGGCCTACATCTAGTTGTTTTGCTAACAAGAGGGAAATATGGGTTGCTTACCTGTAAACATAGTTTCCCGAGTGGTAGCCTGTGTATTCACACCAATGGTAATCCCTGCGCTCGCGCAGGCCAGCAACGGACATTCCCAAGCTACTAACTGACCGTTAGAGAAGCCCCGCCCCTTTCTCTCCACCCCATAAATAGCCCTGCCGCGGGGCTACCGGCCAGTTCTTCCGCCGCAAAAAAAGCAGCCAGAAGCCCTGGGGCATGACCAAGAGAGTGGGGAGGAAGGGCGGGACGTGTGAATACACAGGCTACCACTCGGGAAACTATGTTTACAGGTAAGCAACCCATATTTTCCCCGCGTGGTAGGCCTGTGATTCACACCAATGGTAGACTAGCGAGCTGCTAACCTTGGAGGAGGGTGTCATGCCACAGCTGAAAACAGGACCGCCCGGCCGAAGGCTGCATCCTTCTTTGATGCTATATCCAGCTTATAATGTGTCACAAAGGTAGACGGAGTCGACCAAGTTGCAGCTCTGCACACCGCATCCAACGGTACTCCACGCAAGAATGCCGTCGACGTCGCCACAGCTCTTGTAGAATGAGCTTTCACCTGTAAAGGTAAGTCCCTCCCTGCCAAAGTGTAAGCCTTTCGTATAGTTAATACTATCCATGACGAAAGGCGTTGGGATGATACTGGGTAGCCTAACGCATCCTTACGGTATTTCAAAAACAACCTCGGGGACTTCCTAATAGCTGAAGTTCTGTCTAAGTAAAAGATTAGGGCTCTACGTACGTCCAGTAAGTGAAGGGTCTTCTCCAAAGGAGAAGTTGGGTTCGGAAAAAGGGCAGGGAGCACTATCTCCTGAGATAGATGAAACTTTGTGGCTACCTTTGGCAAAAAAGCTAAATCTGTCCTGAGGACCACTCTGTCCTTGTGCAATCTCAAATATGGCTCGTCACGCCTAAGTGCACAAATCTCTCCTGCTCTGCGTGCTGATGTTATAGCCACCAGGAACGCTGTCTTCCAAGATAGGAAAGACAGATCTACTGTTGCCATAGGTTCAAATGGTGGTCTCGTCAGAGCCGAGAGAACTACCTCCAGGCTCCATGCCGGGGCCACCGGCGTTACTGGGGGCCTGATATTTCCAAAACCTTTCATGAATTGTGAAACTAGCGGATCGCTAAAACAAGACGGAAGTCCTGCCTTTCTACGGAACCATGTTAGAGCAGCTAAATAACACTTCAATGAGGACAAGGTAAGGCCTTGGTTAGCAAGTGACATCAAAAAGTCTAGTATTATCCTTGTTGGGGCTGTGCATGGGTTTGTTCCTTTTTCCTGAGCAAATTTCGTAAACCGTGACCATTTGTAAATGTATGATTTTCTTGTGGATACCCTCTGTGCTGCCTCAAGGACCCTTTTCACATCTTTGGAGAAATCCGAATTCATTCCTCTTGAATTGGAAGGATCCTCCAAGCAGTCAACCTCAGGGTCTGAACGTCTGGGTATAGGACCTGATTGTTCTGGATTGATAACAGGTCCTTTCTGCCTGGAAGTGGTTTGTAAATTTTCCTTGACAATCGAAGTACTAGGGCAAACCACGGCTGGCGAGGCCACCATGGAGTTACAAGGATTCCCGTTGCCCTGTCTTGGCATAGTTTTGAGACTACTCTCAGTATCAGAGGGAATGGTGGGAATGCATAAACCTCCCGTATTCCCCAATGGAGTAAGAATGCGTCCCCTAGACAATCCTGTCTCATATCCCCTCCTGTCCACGCGCAGAACAGGCGACACTTCCTGTTCTCTTGCGTCGCAAACAGATCTACTGCTGGTGTTCCCCATGTTTTGAAAAGAAGGGATGTTACCTCCCCGTGCAGTGACCATTCGTGATGGCTGAGAGGATTTCTGCTTAGGAAATCTGCCAGGGTGTTCTGTTTCCCTGGCAGATGGACCGCTGTGAGTTGGATTTTCCTCTCCACACACCAGTGCCATATTTGAAGTGTCAATGCCAACAGAGTGGGGGAATGTGTGCCGCCCTGCTTGTTGATGTAAAATTTCACAGTCGTATTGTCTGTGAGAATTTGGACAATTCGATTTTCTAACACTGGTTCGAAGGCCTTTAGCGCCTTGTCTACTGCAAGTAGTTCCAATTGGTTTATGTGTAAAACAGATTCCATTGCTGACCATTTCCCTTGAGCTGTGAGATCGTCCACATGAGCTCCCCACCCCAGAAGTGAAGAGTCCGTGGTTACAACCTTGGAAGCAGCAGACTCCCGGAAAGGCAGTCCCGCACATACATTGCCGCGCTCCAACCACCACAATAGGGATTCTTGTATCACCCCAGGTAATGAGAGGAGCGTGTACGGCCTGTGCACCAAAGGATTGAATACTGACAGGAACCATGATTGTAGCGGTCTCATGTGCAGTCTTGCTAGAGGGGTTACTGCTGTTGTAGAGGCCATGTGACCCAGGACCACTTGAATCTCTCTGGCCTGAACTTTGTCTCGTTGGAGCAACTCCCGTATTAATCTTTCTAAGTTTAAGAAACGGTCGTCCGGAAGAAACGCCCTCTGCAACTGCGAATCCAATATCGCTCCGATAAACTGTATTCTTCTCGTTGGGGTGAGCTGGGACTTTTCCCAATTTACGATCAGACCTAGGGACTGGAGAAAACACAACGTTGTGTTGATATGCTCTATGAGTTTATCTCTAGATTTCGCAGTTACCAACCAGTCATCTATATACGGATAGACCGTAATCCCTGAGGTGCGTAGGGAAGCCGCCACTGCCGCCATGCACTTGGTAAAAACTCTTGGCGCGGTAGCTAGTCCGAACGCCAAGACATTGAAGGTAAAAGCCTGACGTCCTACCATAAACGCTAGATATCTCCTATGTTCTTTAGCAATTGATATATGAAAATAAGCGTCTTTGAGGTCTACCGTTGCGAACCAATCATTTTTATTAAGCAAAGGAAGCAATGTTTTCAAAGATAACATTCGAAACTTCTTAGGTGTTATGAATGAATTTACATCTCTCAAGTCTAATATAGGTCGCATTCCTCCTCCTTTCTTAGAAATTAGGAAATATCTTGAGTAGAAGCATAGCCTATGTTCCCCTGGCGGTAATGGAGAAATAGCTCCTTTAGACAATAGAGTGTTAATCTCCTCCTGTAGTAAAGGGGAGGGGGTTGTAACCCTAACTCTACCAACTGGTGGTAGTTCGTTAAACTCAATAAAATAACCGCTTTTAATAATCTTTAAGACCCATTGGTCGTTAGTAATTTCAGACCAGATGTCAAAATAAGGTGCTAAGCGATCTTCAAAAAAGGGATGCACTTTAGCACGTATTTCCTTACTTAAAAGTCCCAAACAGGAATTATGAGTAACTGTAGTAACATTCTGAATTTCAACATATGGATCGATTCCCTGAACAGGGGAAACTCCCATTGGACCATTCACAGCGGAACCAATGTCAAAAACGCTGTTTTGGGCCCCCCAGACGGCTAAGCTTATTCTGGTATGGCTGATAGCGATTCTTTGCCCCATAGGACTGCTTTCGTTGTCCAAATGATCTGTTAAATTGTGATGACTGCTGGCGTTGCTGCGTGGTCATATAGTTACCGAAATTTCTCTTGTAATATGGTGAAGAATTCTGCCACCTCGGTTTCTGTTGATAATTATTTTGCTTCGGAAAGCCATAAACTTGGATGGTCTTTTTCATCTCTTGGTTATGTTTGAGTCTTTCATCTGTTACTGGATTGAACAATCCATCCTGATGCATAGGAAGATCTTCCGCTAATATTCTGCCCTCTTCAGATAGGTCCGAAGCTCTTAGCCATGCATGACGTCTAGCTGACGTAGCAATAGCAAACATTTTGCCTGCTGATTCTGCTAAATGTTTAGCAAAGTCTTTTTGGTACCTTGAAACAATAAGGGCTTCTTTACTAAATGCATTTGGTAAACGCTGCTCATCCTCTGGAAGAAGAGTAATATATGGTGCCATTCTGTTCCATAAATAAGTCTGGTAAGCGCTGAAGTACGTAGCATAATGGGCCATCCTTGATATGAGGCCAGCTGCCATGTGCATCTTCTTTCCCATCACATCAATTTTCTTGCCCTCCTTATCTGCTGGGGCTGACGCTGTCTTCCTGGGTTTCTTCCCTTGACCCACTTCTGCAATCACTGTGTTGGGTCTGAACGGACGCACCAGCCAATCAGCATTCGCTAAGTCTACTCTATATAAACTGTCCACTCTCCTAGGCATTGCTGGTGCAGCTGCTGGAGATCCCTCAGGTACTTTTGTTAGCTTGAGTAAGTATGGCAAAGTTGGGAGAGCAGTACTAACTGGAGTTTCCTGCTGCTCAGCTGGAAACATAGGGTCTTCCACAGTGTCTTGTGGCTTTGGTGTTGGTAAATCCAGAGCCTTGATCATCCTGGCCAGCATTGCATTGAATTTTTTGAATTCTTCAGCATTAGTTTTATCTAGAACTGTATCTTTCGGTTCCTTTAGAATAAATGCATTTTCATCAGAAGAATCACATGGGTCTAGTACTGATTCTTGTTGAAAGCAGGGTGTAGATGGACCTTCTAATGGGTCCTCATCTTGGCTTAATGTATGTTGATTCCTCCCATGAAGGTCTCCATGGGAGTTACTCGGCTGGCAGTGACAAGGGGCAGGGCCTGCACAGTAAATCATTTGCCCTTGTGGAGTCATCTGCCAATAACCTCCCTGTGGGGGCATAGGAACTAATTTGCCATCCTGTCTGCCCACCCAATTCGAAGGAGCCTGATGCTTGGCTCTGTCGCTCCTTCCTCTAAGCCTTTTCTTCCCCTTCTTTGGAACAGGGGAGGAGCTAGAAGATGAGCTTCTTCTCTGCTTCTTCTTCCCTTTTTTTGGAACAGGGGAGGAGCTAGAGGGAGAGTCCCTCCTGGTCTTCTTCTTCTTCCCCTTTCTTGGAGCGGGGGAGGAGCTGGAGGAGGAGTCGGAGGAGGAGCTTGATGTGCTCCTCGATACGGAGCGCCGTCGACGCCGACGCTTCCCTTCCGCTCGAGATGGAGGGCGGTCCCTTCGGCGTCGAGGGGAAGGCTCCTTTGTCGGTCCAGACTGGAGAAGAGGCTGCTTTGGAGCCAGAGCATCCATCAAGGTTTGTGCCTCATTAATAGCTTTCGATAGCGCTGGGGGAGTTACTGAGGACTCAGAGACCTCTGCCTCATTCAAACAATCCCCTTCATTCCGCTCCGTGGGTTGCTTAGGGGTCACCCCCTCACCCACACATTGATTTCCCTTTTGTAAGGGGGAGCCTCTTGCCGCTTGGACTTGCGGCTTTATTTGTTGAGCCACCATTTTTTCCTTGTTTAAGGAAATAAGCGGCTTGGTTCTTTTCTTTTTCCTAATGGTAAGATCATCAGTTTGGACGCCTTTTGGACGAGCTGTTGCCTGTAATTTTTTATTTATCTTTAGTTTTGGCGTTCCCACGTCTTCATTTTGAACTGTGGGAAGCAAGGCTTGTTCGTAAAGAGCAGCTTTGAGCCTTATTTCCCTATTCTTCTTGGTTTGAGGCGTAAAAGCCTTACAAATTTCACAAGCCTGAGAGAGATGGGCTTCTCCCAGGCATGCCACACATTCCGTGTGGGCGTCGTTGTCTGGAATTTTGTTCGGACATAAAATGCATTTTTTAAAAGAGGTAGTCATGCCTCTATTTTTCCTTTATAATATTGCTTGAGTTGTCGTTGCTGCCTTTTGAGGCGGATTTAAAGAACTGGCCGGTAGCCCCGCGGCAGGGCTATTTATGGGGTGGAGAGAAAGGGGCGGGGCTTCTCTAACGGTCAGTTAGTAGCTTGGGAATGTCCATTGCTGGCCTGCGCGAGCGCAGGGATTACCATTGGTGTGAATCACAGGCCTACCACGCGGGGAAATTCCATCTACAATAACACGAAACTTATGTAATTCATGCACCTATTTCACTGGTACTTACAACTGAGACCTAATTAACACAGTTAAGGCAACCCACTGATAGTGTAAAGATTGCAAAATTCATTTACTCTATTTGGTGAGGCAGATTCTGGCAGAATCTTCATTATAGTTTTCACAACGTCATCAGAAACAGCATTACCTAAAGAAAACACACAACCAAAGTACAGACATTTACAAAGAAATCCTTACACTAAGTATCTGTGATCTCAAGTAATGTATATTTACATATCTCTCTCAATAAACAGTGGTTCCCAACCTGTAGTCCGTGGATCACCAGTGGTCCACAAAAACTAAAATATGGTCCACGGCCTCACCGTTACTACACCGTCGCAACGAGAGTGACTGGTCTCGCGAAACCTTCCTATAGTGCCGGTAAAAGTAAAGGTAAAGGTTTTCACCTGACATCAAGTCCAGTCGTGTCAGACTCTGAGGATTGGTGCTCATCTCCATTTCTAAGCCAAAGAGCTGGCATTGTCCGTAGACACGTCCAAGGTTATGTGACTGGTATGACTTCATGAAGCGCTGTTACCTTCCCGCCAGAGCAGTATTTATTAATCTACTCATGCTTTCGAACTGCTAGGTTGGCAGAGGCTGGGGCTAACAGCGGGAGCTAACACTGCTCCCAAGATTCAAATCTGTGACCTTTCGGTCAGCAAGTTCAGCAACTCAGCAGTTTAATTCACTGCAGGGGCTCCATATAGTGCCGAGGCTTGTTAAATATGGTTTTCTGTGGGCAAGTGGATGGCGACTACTGGATGGCATATGTTCTGTATCTTAAACTAGAGCTGATGTGGTCTATCCAATGCAATTTTCTGAACCAGCACCCCAAATAACCAAACCAAATCTAAAGTTAACCAAAAACTAATTTGTAACCCTTTTGTTACTAATGTTGGGGAGTGGTCCTGATCAAAATGATTCTTGGTCAAGAAAAGGCTGGGAACCACTGCTCTATAGTATATATAGAGAGAGATGGTATAGATGCAGATATAGATAGTACTTAGATAATAAAAGTTAAAATGTTAGTATGTGTATCAAATCAAATCATTTATTTCGGTCATTGACCAGCACAGGAAATAGTCACATTTTCATACAAACTTGGTATGTTTGGTCCATTAAAAATATAAATATAACTACTGAAGCACAATATGGGTGAGGGAGCAGAAAGGAAGGGGAAACGGTAAAAACATACAATGCCCAGGTCTATCACCATATTGTAGATTCAGAGAAGAAGATTACTGGACACACAGTTAACTTTTGGGACTAGTCATTCCCTGACGGATTTTGTATGCTGCTGCACAGAACTTTGCAACATTGTAGGTTGTAGCTGAATTAATATCTGCAAGTAGCATGGAGGTATAAAATTGTCCTGAATGGCCTGGGTGCTTGTATAACAGAGGTAAGATTGATGTGTGTGTGTGTGTACAGTATATATGTTTATACATATATACTGTACACACACACACATATCAATCTATCTATGTTTGTATTCAATTTCCAAGATGGCTCCCACACCAAATAGTCCTGGGACTCCCATCAACAATCAATCTGGATCAAACTTGACAAACAGATTCCCCCACCCCACCCCAAGCCCACAACCAACAGAAAATACTGGTCGGGATTTATCCACACTTTTGAGAGTTGTAGTTCATATACAATGGAAGAGCACCGTGAACCCAAGCAATTACGGATTTGGACCAAACCTGGCACACATACCCCCCCCCCCCCCCCCCCCCAATGATAAACTTTAAGTACTGTTGGGGTTTATAGTTCAATAGTGAGTTGTGTATTCCAACATGACAGAGGACTGGACTAGACTAGACTGCCCTTATGGGCTCTTCCAGCTTTATGTGCTATGATTCAATACAACAGTTGGTTAAAATATATGAATAACAAGGAAAGGAAATAAAAAGTTATTATAGGTGCTCCCATAAAGTGTAGCTGATGTTTTTGTTTAGAACAACAGATACTCACATCATGTCAGTTTGCTAAACAAATTTGAAGGACTTCTGTTCAAAATATAAACAGACTGATAACAAATCCCAAATTTCCTTGGGATGATTTGAATGCTATTAAAATCTTACTAAGATTTTCTCCTTCACTTTCTGCCCCAGACTGCTGCTAAAAGTACTGTATTTTCTGGCATATAAGACGACTGGGCGTATAAGACAACCTCCAACTTTTCCAGTTAAAATATTGAATTTGGGATATACTCACTGTATAAAGACATTACTATTATTATTATATGGAAGTGTAGAAGGGTCTCAGGATTCATCTATATCAGTGTTTCCCAAACTTTGGTCTTCCAGGACTTCAGCTCCCAGAATTCCTGACTGCTGACCAAGCTGACTGAGGCTTCTGGGAGCTGCAATCCAAAACAGCTTGAGGACCAAGCTTTAAGAAACACACATCGACACTATAGAATGAATGCAGTTTGATCCCACTTTAACTGGCATTGCTTGAAGTTGTTTATCAAGGGAAGTGTAGTTCTGTGAGGCAGCAGCACTCTTTGGCAAAGGAAGCTCAAGAACTCCCAGAATTCCATAGCGTTGAGCCATGGCAGTGCCAGTGGTGCCAGACTGCAGTGTGGATGCACCTTTTCCCTCTCTGCTCCCAGCCACACCTGTCACTTTTGCCTCTCTCGCTTGGGTCGTGCTACTTCTGCAGGAGTTGCCGGATTTCAGCTATGTCTCCTTCGGCAGCGGCCCAGTGCAGCCTGGCCAGCTCTTTGCTCCAGACTTTACAGGCACCTCCCGCGAGATCCAGACACAAGTCTGCTCCCGCCTGGCCCAAAGGCAGCGGCTCCGGCGGCTCCCTTCCCAGACCCAGCATCTTCTTCATCTTCCTCTTCTTTCTCCCTCAGCCAGGGGCAAAAGTGTCCCTCTTGCCAGGGGAGGGTGGCACGGAAGCCCGAGGGAGGGAGGGAGGAAGGCAGAAGGAGATGTGTATAAAGAACGGATAAATCAGATCTCACAAACTGCCACCAATTATAAAGAACGGGGCAATCAATCTCTCTCACTGCCACCAACTATTAAAGAACCGATCGATCAAATGACCGTTCAAACTATAAAGTTCTGGTCAAACAATCACTCAAGCTGCCACCAATATTTTAGACCGGATCAATAAAGGATTTCATCAGCTGCCAAATCAAATATGTAATGATCACCGTTCAATTGATAGACACCAATGTGTAGAGCAGCCATTAATTGTTAAGGGCTAACCGGATTATTAGGCTTTTATACTCATGAAAGAACTCTTCTTATGTTTAATTGAGGGAAACATAAACTGAGTAAGTTATGGCTGTACAACTACTGATAACTCAGAATTGTTGAAACTGTTTCTTCTGCTTGGCTGACATCTTTCTACCTTTAGAACTGAGGAAAGCTAATAACACAATCTTTTGTGTTACAATGCAGTTTGTTCTTCAGAGAGATTAAATGTTTATCTAAAGTATTCACACACAGTCTGTGGTAGTGTGAAAATAGAATGAAACGTTTATTAAACAATCTTGAAAATATTTCAGGTACAGAATGCTTGTTGGTTTCCTTAAAAATAGTACAGTGCTTGAATTAAATTCCAGTTACAACTTGCAAACTGAGAATTTATATCTGCTCCTAAAATAGATTCTTCTCTACAAACAGCCCAAAACACAGGGTCTGTCTAGAACCAGTTCTTCTGAAGTAACTACCTAAATCTATTCCCAGATAGAGTTCTCACTAAATCTTCACTGCTATTCTTCAACTACAACTGCTCTCTCTAACTCTTCATTCCAACTCCCCCTCAGGATTTTAAAACGCTCCTTTTTTCCTCTCAGCTTCTCCTAAACTCTGCCCCCTTTCTCTACACCAATCCCGGCCATTCCCTGCTGTCTAATGCCTAAGACACGCCCCCCTGCTCTGAACTACACTCAAGATGGCGTCTCCCTTCTCCAAAATGGCTGCTGATGCTTCGCCTTGCCCATTCCCTATCTTTCTAGGCTTACAGGCTTTTCCTGGCCCTGCATCCTGGCTGTAACTAAGGTAAGGGTTCTTCACAATGTGCAGCTCCCTCCAGTAGCTGGGCTCCCGGAAAAGGCGGGAGGAGTACATGCAGAGAGAGCCTAGCCTTGCCCCACAGCAGCCACAACAACGGCTTCCCCCAAAGAGGTACCACGCATGCGCCTTCAAGCAACCTCTGCCCTCCCCCCCACCCCGGTTAGGAAGGAGTCTCGATTCAAAAGCCACATACACACTCCTTTTTTGGCTCTTCCCAAAGGAATACTATGCATGCACCTTCAAGAAACTCTATAAGATGACATCCAGTGTATAAGGCAATCCCCGAGTTTTGAGAAGATTTTCCTGGGTTAAAAAGTCATCTTATATGCCGGAAAATACGGTATCTGCAAAATCTGACAGCTCCCACCAGATACCCAGTGCCCACCAACATGTGCAAATCAATAAACACATCTAATGTGTGTCTTCTCCCATATGAAGATACGGTATGGCTGTGTTCACTCAATATACCAAACCACCATTTGATACCACTGGAATCCAGAACCAAAGAAAACACTGCACCACCAGTTACAATGCTCAAGTGCCAAGGCTCCTCAGTTTTCGGTCTTTAAGCCCATCTTTAAATCTCTTTTATTGTCCACTGACAATCTGCCATACTCACACATTTCAAAATCTTTGGATTCTTTGATATCCAGCAATGTTGGCAATGCAGGACTGATCTCTGACACTGAGACAGACTTGAGACCTAACATTTCTTGATTTTCTTTTTCCATAACGATAGATCTTTCCTCATTCTCAGAAGAAGCAAAGTTCTTTGCAACAAGATCATCATTCACACATACCTATGAAGGAAGCAGATTTTATGCGTTTGAAAAGTCATCCTAAAGAAGAGAAAGCAAACATGTTATTAACAGCAATGCAACATGGAAGATATTGTAGCTTGAAATGCCAATATAATGTGGAATCAAGTTGAAATAATGAAGCTGCAAGAGCATTTAAAATGGCCTGCCATGTGCTAAAGAATCACAACTATTGGAATTACTATAAAAGCAGACCAAACAATTCAATTACTCTGTACTGAAAAACTCTTTTAATTGTAGCTGCTGCTCTGTGCAGGTGCACTGAAAAAAAATCGAAATGGCTTCTGCATGGACTTTCTAATAGGTCTTCAGTTGTAAATTCCACATTATCATAATTAATAACACACTTTAAAAGAACACACATTTTGGGTTGTTGAGAGATATTCAGGAGATATGGACATGATCCAGCAGCATTCTCTCCTGACATGTCACCCACATCTATGGCAGGCATCATCAGAGGTTGAGGGGTCTGTTCAAAACTATGCAAGTGAGGTTTATATATTGGGAGAATGTCCAGGGTGGGAGAAAGAACTCTTGACTGCTTGAGGCAGGTGTGAATGTTTCAAATGGCCATCTTGGTTAACATTTAATGGCCTTGCAGCTTCAATGCCTGGCTGGTTGCTGCCTCGGGGAATCCTTTGTTGGGAGGGTTAGCTGGCCCTGATTGATTCTTGTCTGGAATTCCCCTACTGGAATTTCCCTGCAGACTAATTCAACCTGAGAAGTCAGCCATAGCAGAGCACCTGATGAACCAACCTGGACACAGCATACTATTTGAGAACACAGAAATGCTGGACCACTCTAACCATGATGTCAGATGACACAGAGAAGCCATTGAAATCCATAATCATGTGGACAATTTCAACAGGAAGGAGGACAAAAATGAACAAAATCTGGTTACCACTATTAAAAAACTCTAAAATCAGGACAGTAAATAAAGAGTAACACTCAAAAAAAGCAGGGGAATTCCAGAATTTGAATTGCAACCTAGCCATAGAAACCTTGGGAAAGTCACATTCTCTCACCCTAAGAGAAAGACAAAAGCAAAGCCTCTTTTAATAAAAATTTCCAAGAAAACCCTGCGATAGGGTTGCCATAAGTCAGAAATGATATGGAAGTACACAACAACTAGATATGTTTTAGAACAGTGGTTCCCAACCTGTGGGTCCCCAGATGTTTTGGCCTTCAACTCCCAGAAATCTTAACAGCTGGTAAACTGGCTGAGATTTCTGGGAGTTGTAGGCAAAACACCTGGGGATCCACAAGTTGAGAACTTTTGTGAAGATACTGTAATATAATTTTCATTAACAGCTGTCTGAATACTCCAACTACTACTACTACATTGATGAAGTACTAGTTCATACAGAGAGAGACAGATGCGGGCAATCACCTTGACAAATTATATTCTTGTTGTTTTTTGTTTGTTTTGTTTTGTTTTGTTTTTTGCCTTCAAGTTACTTCTGACGCATTAACCATATCATGCGTTTTCTTGGCAAGATTTGTTCAGAGAGGTTTTGCCATGGCTTTCCCCTGAGGCTGAGATACTGTGACTTGCCCAAGGTCGCTCAGGGTTTTTCCATGACCAAATGGGGATTTGAACCCTTGTCTACAGAATCCAAAACTCAAATCGCTACACCACAGTGGCTCTCAGGACACATTGTATACTCAGTTTTACATACTATATGAAGACAGATTTGTGTCACCTGGCTTACCTTTTCACCCCCTTTTGTGACATAAAGATAGACGGCAAAAGTGTCTTCTTCAACAGCACATAACTTGGCCTCCACCTGGCTAGCTGCTATGAATAGAAGATTAAGTATTAATAGATTATTTCTATTATATCCCCAAATTTTATTGGTTCTTTATCAACTACATCGAATAGATCATAGTACAGCTTCTGTACCTGTAGGGCCGGTGGTTTCACCGACCCACATCCAACCAAACAAGTCCTCCAGGAGATTCTACGCTATGTTTCTGCAGGAGTTCAGAGTTCACCTTGCCCTTAGTACCAACCAAGACTCCAAATGCAGTAATAAAACAGTTTATTGAAGTACATGAAGGGGGAAATCACCAAAGGAATAAGAAAGGCAAAATCCAACAGGTAATCAGAAAAGGTAGTCAATAAGTAAAAAGCCCAACCAAGCTGGTGAGGAGAAAAACACTTCAAAGGCAATAATCCAAAGGGTAAAGGAGAACAAGACTCATAAATCCAGGGAAACTAGAATCAAATCATGAACATGAATCCAGAAAAACAAGAATCAAAACGTGAGCATGAATCCAAACTCCCAAGAACTTAGATCAGTGGTTCTTAACTTGTGGGTCTCCAAATGTTTTGGCCTTCAACTCCCAGAAATCCTGTGAGTTGTAGGACAAAACACCTGGGGACCCACAGGTTGAGAACCACTGACTTAGACTAAAAACAAGAACTGGTAACAGGACTTGAGATCCTCACTATTTTGCAGCATTGCCTGATCTGAATTCCCAAAGAGGCACTCTCTAATGTAGGGACCACAAAACAATGAAGTCATTTCTTTGACCTTTGCTTGTGAGACTTTTTTGCTCTTCCTTCTCACTGAGCCTTTTTGATTTCCTGGGCTTGATGTTTTTCTCCCTAAGGTCAAGCCTGATACACCTGTTGAACACATCTGCTCTCTCAGGCAAGCTATCTCGGCCTTCCAAGTCTTTATCAGTTGTTAATTTATTTGTAGGCGAAAAGGCATCTCCACCATTCACTGTATCTCCCTGTCTGCTGAACTCTGAAACCCTAAAATCCCCTCATTTTCTTCATTGAAAGAAACATCCAGGCTCTGGAATCCCAATCCCCTCATATTCATCTGTCTGAACCACAACAGTTATTGTCTAGGTCAGTGTTTCTCAACCTACCAAATTCCGTGACTCCTTAATACAGTTCCTCATGTTGTGGTGACAGCCAACCATAAAATTATTTTCATTGTTACTTCATAACTGTAATTTCGCTACTGTTATGAATCGTAATGTAACTATCTGATATGCAGGATGTGCTTTCATTCACTGGACCAAATTTGACACAAACACCCAATACGCCCAAATTTGAATACTGTTGGGGTTGGGGGAGGGGAGGGATTGGTTTTGTCATTTTAGAGTTGTAGTTGCTGGGATTTATAGTTCATCTACAATCAAAGAGCATTCTGAACTCCATCAATGATGAATTGAACCAAACTTGGCACATAGAACTCCCATGACCAACAGAAAATACTGGAAGGGTTTGGTGGGCACTGACCTTGAGTTTTGGGAGTTGTAGTTCACCTACATCCAGAGAGCACTGTGGACTCAAACAATGATGGATCTGGACCAAACTGGCACGAACCTCAATATGCCCAAATGTGAACACTGGGGAGTTTGGGGAAAACAGACCTTGACATTTGGGAGTTGTAGTTGCTGGGATTTATAGTTCACCTACAATCACAGAGCATTCTGAACTCCACCAACAATAAAATAGGACCTAACTTTCCACACAGGACCCAGATGACCAACAGAAAATACTGTGTTTTCTGATGATCTTTGGCGACCCCTCTGACACCCTCTCGCAACCCCCACCCCCCAGGGGTTCCAACCCCCAGGTTGAGAAATGCTGGTCTAGGTCCCTCCATGTCTACTCTATGGGAACCTTTTGTGGATGTCATTCATTTTAATGGGGCTTACCATAATCCACGGTTTCCCATTTCTATAGTAAGTTCAAAAATGCATCCCTCACAGATACTGGGTTTGTACTGTATAGTTATTCAATTCACTGTTTGAGTATCCGTTACGCATTTTTGAATTTGGGTTTAATTTTTTGGGGAATATTTATATATACATATACACTACTGATATGTACATAATGAGATATCTTTAGATGGGAACCAAGCGAAACATGAAGTTAATTTATATTTCATATACACCTTATGCATACAGCCTGAGAATAAATTTATACACAATATTTTAATAATGTTGTGCATGAAACAACTGAACTCTCAAAAAGCAAAAGGGTCACATGAGGACAATGTTGAAGTCTTTAGTAATTCCAGATTAAGAGATGTTCAACTCGTATTTCCACCCTTCTCCCAATAATGGGACCAATATCAGCTCACAATGTGCTTGAAAAAGAGACACAACTCAATTCAATTTGATCATATTAAAACAACTGAATCAGAAACAATTTAAAACAAATGGGGGCACTAAGCAGACACACCCCCATTAACAATTTATTCAGTAATAGCTGCCATGGCCCTGCTTAAATAAAAAGACCTTTGCCTGCTATCAAAAGGATGCCAATATAGATTAAATTCCTACATTACACCCAATAAGTCATATATCTGAGATGACACAGTATATTTTCCTGTATATTTTATTACCATTCAAGAGGTCTTGGAAATACCGGATAGCAGCAACATTCCATTTGGTAGTAGGACTACAAAAAAGCACAGAATTATTAAATCATAAAAAACCTTTTCTACATTTATTAAGCATTTCTAACTTTGCTTTTTTTTTTTACAAATTATATAAAAACTAAAAAGATAAAAGTCGTAAACTCCAGTGTATTAAAAAAGCATGGTATTCTGGCAGATGTATGTCAAGCTTGTGGGTATACACACACACACACACACACACACACACGCTACTTATTTATCAAAAGGCTCAATATTTGAGGCAAGTAGTCTCAATATATTTACAAGCTTGATGTTTCCGGCTAACAAACTGTATGTATGTATTAATAACTTGTATTGTTTATAGACCCAACTACCTGATGAAGACTCATGTGAGTTGAAACCGGTTGAATGTTGGAGTCTACTCTTGTGTAATAAAGAAAATAGAACATTTACTGTGCAAGGGTTTGGAGTCTACTCATCTGTAGTAAAGACATAAGAACTATTTCCACACATGTGAAGAATTTTTTCATCTTTCAAGAAAAGAACAAATTGTTTATGTTAAAGGTGAATGTAACTATCTTCTTTTACTGACATTTGTATTTGTATGTATACACTGAACTTCTATGTGTTTAGATACATTTGAATCACTGTAATTTGTGGATACTGATCTTTTTAGATATACAATGAGACAATTCTACATAATGGGAAGTGTTAATTTATTTACTTTATTTCTACCCCGCTCTATCTCACCCCGAGGGGGACTCCGAGCGGCTTCCAATTTTGGCAAATATTCAGTGCTACACTTATACAAAAAAACAAACAATACATTAACACAATTAACCATTAAAATCAAAATAGACATATAAATTACAAATTCAAACAATTAAAACAATACAATTGAAAGCAATTAAAACATGTAGAACATAGCACCAATCCCGAAAATGTCATCGAAATTGCTTATGTCAGTTCTGTGTGAGTCTATTGCACTTTAATTATACTATTCATCAAATGCCTGCTTCCACAGCCAGGATTTCATCTTTTTTTCTCTAAAGACCAAGAGGGAGGAGGCCAATCTGATATCGCTTGGGAGGGAGGGGGCACCACCGAAAAGGCCCTGTCTCTCATCTCCACCAATCACGCCTGTGAAGGGGGTGGGACTGAGAGCAGTGCCTCCGCAGAATATCTTAACGCTCGAGGTGGTTCATAGAGGGAGATATGTTCAGACAGGTAAGCTGGGACAGAAGCATTTAGGACTTTAAAGGCTAAAGCCAGCACTCTGAATTATGCTCGGTAGCAAACTGGCAGAAAATGGAGCTGACATAGCAGAAGGGATATCAGCTTCCTATATGGCACTCCAGTGAGAAGCCTTCTGCTGTCCATTGGACTCCTTGGAGCTTCCAAACAGTCTTCAAAGGCAATCCGATGTAGAGTACTTTGCAGTAGTCTATTCGAGATGTGACAAG